TTTCTTTCTTTCTTTCTTCTTTCTTTCTTTCTTTCTTTCTTTCTTTCTTTCTCTTTTTCTTTCTTTCTTCTTGCTTTCTTGCTTTTCTTTTTCCTTCTCTGTCTCTGTCTCTGTCTCTCTCTGTCCCTCTGTCTCTCTCTTTTTCTTTTCATTTGTTTCTTCTTCCTTACCTCCTCCCCCCTTTTCTAAATGGCTGGGGAGAACTCCAGACACATAAAACTAATCCTATTCCCCAAACACAGAGACCAAGTTCAGACAATCCCTTGCTTACTTGTTTACTCTTTTCTGTCCTCTTTAGTTTCTCAGAGCCTACGTGAACATCCTTTGATCTCCAGCCTTGCTTCTACTGCCTTTTCAATTATCTTTGTTTTATCCACTATCCTTCTTAACTTTTCCCACCACAGAGTAAAACCACTCTAACAAGAGTAAACATTTGAAATGCAAGGTCCTAATTTATTGTCAACTGTTATATAACTCTAGGTTTTGCTCCTATGGTTTAAGGTTCAAAATTAATAGTTACCACAGTCTGTCAGTTTCTAAACTGTACTTGATGCCATTGTTATTCCTAATTATACTACTTGAACTAGGATATCATCGATGTTGTAATCAGTTGTTGTTCCTTCTGTACACTTGGAAGCTCTGGGGTAATAACCTTTCCACATCCCAATACCAAAGGACTGGGGACTGAGGCACACAGATAACATCTCACATATTAATTAATCAACAACATCTCTTATTAAATGTGAAAATAAGATCTTGGCAAAAACCCAAACCAAGAACCTCCTACACACAGACAACATCCCCAAAGGGCTGGATTTTCCAAGACAGAATTTAATACTAGTAATATGGTTATCTACTACAAGCACCTTTAAGGACCAACACAAATATAAATAATAAAAAAATATGACCAATAAGGAAGTCAGTGTGGAGATTCCTCAAAAAACTAGGATTAGAGATCCCATTCAACCCAGCTATTCCCCTTCTGGATATTTTTCCAGAAGAACTGAAAACATCATACCACAACAATCTATGTGCACTCATGTTTATAGAAGCACAATTTGTCATAGGTAAGTCTTGGAAGCAACATAAATGCCCTTTAACTGAGGAACGGAGGAAAAAAAATGTGATTTTTTATATAATGGCGTATTACTCAGCTATAAAATATTTTAGGCTTTTATAGGTAAATGGATACAACTCGAGATCATACTCATAAGTGAAATAAATCAGATCCATATGTGTAAACATCTTATTGTCTCCCTATTGTAAGAACCTCAAAGAGTAAATAAAATCTAAAAGGTACAATGGAAACTGTAAAAGGGAAAGAAACTGTTCAAAGGGCAGGAACAACTGGGATACAGGAAAGGAGGAAAGAAAGAAAGAAAGAAAGAAAGAAAGAAAGAAAGAAAGAAAAAAGAAAGAAAGAAATATATGCATATATATGCAGGATAGCTTGGATAATTGTAATGCTGATTTCTGTTGGCCTATTGAAAGGAACAGTTAGTGCTTGAATTTTTTTCTCTCTTTTTAATTTTTTCTTTTTTTGGTGGAACCAGGAATTGAACTCAGGTCCTTGCACTTGCCAGGCAAGTGCTTATTCTACTGAGCCATCTCCCCGGCCCTTCTCTTTTTAATTTTTTAAGAATTTTTTGTTGTCTAATTTTGCATGCTTATATCCGGTAATCTGAACAACTAATTTGAAGACAACAATATGCAATAATAACAACAACTATTGTTGAATTCTTATCATTTTGTTCAGTGAAATTCATTTATAATGTTTCAAAATATTTTTATTCTCTTTTTAAAAAAGAATACATGAATTCT